TGTAATTCATCATCGAATACTGACGCCCTGCTAGTTTCGCCACCAAAACTGGCGTCCCGACGAATGAGGACTTTGCCAACGCGACGTACTTCCAGGAGCAGCTTGATCTGTATCTCAACAACAAGACCGGCCGTCTAGCAACGTCAGGAGCCAGTTCTGGCCTGCTGTCACTGCCGCAACTTGCGTCAACGCTTTACACGAGCGGTACAGCCCTCCAGACCAACTTCGTAGGCCCCGCCGAACAGTACGCCCTCATTGCGAGGGGTCTCGCAACCGGCGAGGTCGCGCAGGAGCTGATCATCGAGGGAGGCATCTCGCCCCAGTTCTCCAACGACTCGACGCTCTTATTCAGGGCCTCCACTCCGGGCAACTTCATCTCCGTGCTCGGCGTCCTGCAGCATCCGTTCTCGCGTGGATCAGTGCACATTCGCTCCCGTGATGCGACGATGCATCCCGAGGTCGACCCGCGCTATCTCTCGCACCCCGCCGATCTCCAGCTTCTCAAGATTATTGCCCTGCACCTCCAGGCCGTGGCGAAGACGCCGCCGCTGAGCGCGCTGCTGCAGGGAGGCGGCACGGTGTACCAGCCGGGCTACCACCGGCTCACGGCCGAAAATGTGGAGAGATGGATCCGCGCCGCGGCGCAGAGCGAGTACCATCCGTGCGGGACCGCGGCGATGCTGCCTAGGGCCAAGGGCGGCGTGGTGGATGAGCGGTTCCGGGTGTACGGAGTTAGCAACCTGCGTGTCGTCGACGCGAGCGTGTTCCCGCTGATCCCTCGAGCAAATACGCAGAGCCTGGTGTACGCTATTGCTGAGAGGGCGGCAGAGTTCATCAAGCGGGCTGCTTAGTCTGCAATGAATGCGTACATGGCATGGCGCGGTTTTGTTTGCCCATGCATTTTCCTCTTCGACTTTTCCGTCTTCAAGTAATACTCTTGGCAGCATATAGGAGTAGTCCGTCCGGCGTAGGAGGGTGCGATTCTGAGACTGCTTGACCTTTGATTTACTGCTTGTCTTGTGGGCTGGGTACCCAGGGAAGTTAGGGACCAGCAGATGGCCAAGCGTCACATATTCCGGATACTTACCTTTGGCAAGTGATGAGAAATCACGCGCCCGGCGCGAGAAGGCGCAGCTGAGCGGCGCGAGAGACCAGAAATCAGGGCATAGCCTGTCATTCCCATAATCTCCATCGTCGTCATCCTTCGCTGTGGTGCTAGAGATTTGATCCGACGCCACGCGGGAATACGTGGTCTCCCCCTCGTCATCTCCCGCTCCCCTCAGACCCCGAGTCAATCCATTTCGAGTGCCTGACTTGCGCCAAATGCCCTGGCAAAAGAAGTGGGCAGTCTCCAACTCGGCAGTGGGTTCATCTGATTGCGGGGACCAGCCACTCTGATCGAGATGGACAACGGATGACTGTGGACCGCGTTCAGATTGATGGACACGGTCCCCATTGCAGTCTGACCTGAGCTTTGCAGTGGCCTTTCTGCAGGTCCATCCTACTCTGGCCTTGTGCATGGCTGGCAGATGATGGGCGACAAGCGATGAGGGGCGGGCGACGCGGGCTACCAAGATTTCGTGGCGGACAAACTCCCGTTTCTAGCGAGCAAGCCTCTTCGACATGTGCCTTATTGTGTGCTGCAGAAGCAAGGGTTCCCCTCTTCTCTTCTGTGTGTCTATGTCTGTACTATCTTCGTCCCTGCTCTTCGCGTCTCTCTCTCGATCAACGTACTCGGGGGTCCACCCACCGCCTACTCACAGGGGTCGTCCAAGCCTGAATCTGGGCTAACGCAGATCTGGTCTTGGGGTTGGAGATGGTCAGTGGATTGGAGGCAGCTGTCGAATCAACGTCGATCAAGTCCGCGACGAAAACCGCCGCCAGAGGGGGCATTTGGATCATGTCCGCCTTTTCCCGCCTGCCCTTCTTCTCACAATGGGTTGCGTTTCTGAGGACGAGGATGAATGATGCCGTCGGATTATTAGACCCTCGCGCGGTATCGACACTGAGTTCTTTGGGACTCGCAATTGTAGGTTGGTCAACGCTTGCGAAGGCGCTTGCGAGTTCAGCCTGAGCTGCGGGCGTTTTCCCCCGGCGGCAGGCAAAATGGCGAAGAGGTTCACAAGTCTTCACAACGGTAAGCTGTGTGGCATCCCTCTCCCTTGCTGCCATTGCTACGACGGTTGAGAGCAGACTGCCAGAGGACTTCCTCGCCATCAATCAAACCTCAAGATACCAAAACAGCAGTGTCTTCAGCCGAACCTCTGCATTGCAGCATAGTTCCTCGGCATCTCGGCTCAACAAGAGCGAAACTATGACTACCCTTTTCAAGGCAGCAAAGCAATACAGGTGGAGACAGCTTTTCTGGCCCGCATCAGTGAGGTCAGGTCAAGGTCTCCAGCACGAGCCGGTGCCTTGCAGCGTACCCCCTATGCCTCTCATTCGAACGAAAGCTACGTAGTAGAGAATGAATAGAGAAGCGCAAACCATAGTTCGGCACCCCGAGCGCCAAGCGCCTCGCGAATCCTCGTTCGGGAGCGTCCATGTAATTATGTACGGGGGACCCGCATGCTTCGAGCAATCAGCACTGCTTAAAGCCTACCATGGCCGCCTCCCCGAAGCCTCTTCCTCCGTCTGCCCTTGCTTTCGTGGCATCATACTCGCAGTTCCCAGGATCAGGGGAGAATGCCCGGGTAAAGAAAACGTACAAACCCCCTGCTAGTCATGAAAGCTTGCCTCTCCCTCGTTGCCCAAACCAGGATACCCCAAGCCAAGGGACGACCCGTTGCGATGACTATGGTAGACCACTTGTAACAATCTCTCCTCTGTACCTCTGACGGCCTGGCATTGGGGGAAATCCACCTGCGTCTGCAATATGCAGCCCACCGCTCACTGCTTGCTCCCCCCTTCCCCCCTTTTTCAGTCCTCTTTCAGTGAACCACATTGTACGTTCCTTACCCCTCAGTCTCCTCTCATCAGCCGGTCTGGGGGTGGTGGTGGTGGAGGGGACCTGAGAGTTTGGGGAACCCATGCTCCCACCCTTTCGATCTCGACCATGTGTCTCATACCATGCCTTGGCCCATGGGATTAATGTCTAGTTTGGGATTCGGGACGAGGTCCTGTGATGATCAGGATGTAGGAAGCTGAAGGTGGTCCCTCGTGGGCATGTTGGTTCCTGAATGTTATTACACCCGTCACCTGCTGTCTCGTTCGATACGCGAACCATCTGTCTCGGGTCCCTTCGCTTCCCAACCCCACGTTTTTCTGTCGCTGTGTACTGCCGTCCGCTTTGATTGCCTGCCACACCTTCCTTCGCCATGTTTGGTGGTCGATCTGAATCAGAGCAAGGTGCTGCGGGTGGCCAACAACAGCATTCGCAGTCTCCTCATGATAGAATGATGCTTTACGCGAAACCCATACAACCCAAGCCTGTCAAGAGCCGGTCCAGAGCAGGTATGTTGTCATTTTGATGATCGTATCTGCATCGGCAGAGCTGTGGCTAACACAGGTCCTTCAGGTTGCAAGTACTGGTGCGAATCCCTTCTAATGTGCCATGCTCTCTGAACTATACCCAGCTCACATTACTTCCACAGCCGAGACAAGGTATGTTCCGTTCCTCTGATTTAGTTCCCACCTCTGGCCGCCGTCTCCCTGAGGCCGTTGACCAACTCGTTGTCCCCTCGTAGCGAAAGAAGTGCTCCGAAGAAAAGCCACGATGTTCGCGTTGCGTCCAGTTCGGCGTCGAGTGCGTCTACGAGCCCATCAAGAAGCGCAAGAAGCGCACCACAAAGTTCACGGTCCCTTCGCCCCCGGACGCTGGCAGCACACCAGGTTCCTCCGGTCCCAGCACGGCGCCTTCTGACCCCACCTTGAATCAGCAGCACCTCCATCAGGCCTATTTTGAGCCTGGACAGACACCAGAGGGGCTCGCCTCGTTCCTGGACCCCTGGGCCGGCGGCGACACATCCATGTCCGACTCGACGACCGGGACCTCGCCGTCGCTGCTGGGCTATGATGATGCGGCACTCGGCGAGAACACGTACCAGATTGGCACCTTTGATGTCGCCGGCGCCAACGTCTGCGGGACGCAGGCTGAAGTCATACCTTCGCTGGCGTGGAGCCCCCAGATCGAAGAGGATCTCCTGCCGTGGCCGTTCCTGGCCGGCCACATGGACTGGGGAGAGCATCAGCAACAGCAGCACCAGCAAATTCTAGCCCCAGCACCACCGGCTCACATGCCTTGGCTGGCTCCGGCGTCACCAAGGCCTAGGGGGCCGTTCTCGGCCGTGGCCGACCCGACATCGCAGGCGCTGGACCACAATGCGCTGGTAGACCATTTCTGCCACTCGGTTGCTGGAAGTCTGTTACAGGGTGGCGGAAGTGCTGTCGTAGACCATGTTGGGTCGCTGTGCTTTGGGAGTGCGGTGGTGAGAGATGCGGCGTGTGCGCTGGCTGGTGCTGACCTGATACGGACGGGGTTGAGAGACGATGTTGACCATGGGTTGTTCCACGAGCAGGCCTTGATCGGGTTGACCACCTTGACCGAAGTCGAAGAGGACTGGGCAAAGGAGCAGACGCTCGGAGCGATGCTGTTGCTCGTGTACTACGAGTTGGTATGTTCTGTGATGAACCCATCGAGCTTGGACATCGCTAACTCGCAGGATGAATAGCTTCTTCAGAGAGGCCCAACGAATTTGATCAGTCGGCACATGCAACAAGCTTGGAGGGTTCTCGAAAAAGTCCACGCCTCAGAAAACCCAAGGCTTGTCTTTTTCCGTGAGGTAGGGTTCGCTGGATCGCGTCCTCGCTGAACCTCCGCTGACAGATGGCCAGGCCTTCAGATACTTTGATATCATCCACGCGCTCTCTTCTGACACCTCGCCCTGCTCTCCGTCCCCGTCATCGGTTCATTCTCACATTTCGGTCCCGGCTGTGGACTCCTCCATTAGCGCCATATCCGGCTTCACAGCCGACCTCTGGCCCATCCTCCACCGCCTTGCCTCTCTACTCTGTCGACAGAGAGATCGGAGCCTTTCCAGGGGCCTGCATGGATCTTCCGAAGACAATGAAGCTAGCGACGAGCGAGAGGCGGCTCTTCATGAGCTAGAGCAGGTTCTCGTCGCATGGGAACCCGCCCTTCCACCTGGCTACACTCTTGTCAACCGTGTTGTCGATGGACCAGAGGACGCCCCTGATAATGAAGTTGCGCGCATCCGCGTCATGACAAGCAAGGCGCTTGCGTGCAAACAGAGCGCCCTCATAGTGTTGAACCGCGAGCAAAACGCCGAGGCGGTGCAGCGGCATGCTAGGGCGGCGCTTTGGCACTGTGTCTCGGCGACGGGACCGCATCTGCCGCCGGGGCGCGGTACGGGCGCCGGGATGCTTTGGGCTTTGTTCGAGGCAGCATGCGAAGCCGGAGATGGCCGAGATCGTGGCCTCGCGAGGCAGGCTTTCGCGGCAGTCGAGGCAGCGAGAGGTGTGGTCAATGCTGCAAAGGCCTGGGAGGTGGTTGTGGAAGTCTGGCGAAGGAGGGATCTGGCGAAGGCAGGTGGGAGGGCCGATCCTGGGGGTGGCGGATGGAGAAGAATCGCCGAAGAGATGGGGTTCAGCCTGGTATTTGGATAGATGCGAGGCCTGTGGGACGGTGTGTTGTCTCGAGCCGTTTGTTTCCATTGCTTCTACTGTTGGACGTATACCCCTGAATATGTTGATGAGTTCAAGCCGGTTGGAGGCGTTTCCAACGGCTTATGTCAAGTAAGCACCCGAAACTTTGTTTCAGATTCCCCTATTGGCATATAAAGGACGTGAATGACGATGGCGAGACACATTGCGTCCTCGTGTGACTGCGAGCGCTTGTGTTCCCAGTACTGGCCGATGTCATCCAAATTTACTAAATATTACGCCCCAGGTGCACATAATCAACGACCGACGACATGAGAACGCCTTGAAATTGCACCATATCAAGACGATTCGGACACTTAGCTGTCCTTCGTCGTTTCCCCATATCACAGCTTTCATGAGAGCTTCATAATGGAGTGGGACACAAGCTTCAAAGCGCTCCCGTACATGAAGTTTGAGACGGAGTCATCGCAACTGAGATGCTCGGTATTATTTATTGCATTCCAAACATGAGCAGAATGTGCTGGTGGTTCATCAAAAAGAAAAGTAAACAGATAACCTTCGTGAAGGAACGGACGGACGCCAGGTTGACTCCCGCGATGAAAAGAGAAGAAAGCCAAAACCGCCTTGCCACTTATTAATCAACTCCCTCGCTGCCCCAAGTATCTCTAGTCATCGCCCTTCTAAATGCAGTAGGGGCTCTGGTTCTGCTCGTTGAAGTAGCAATCAGTGTGAGGGGGGCAGTCGCCGGCGTACTGTGCGCATCGTTAACATCGTGGCGGTCATGTGCAGGCAGGGCTCAAACATACCACCCAGAGCGCAGACACGTCGCAGACCTGCCAGCCTTGCTGACCATAGTTGCCAACAGCGCAGGAATAGGTACCCGGCTTGCAGCCTTCGGTAGGAGGAGTGTAGTCGCCAGGGCGGGCGACAGCCGAGCTGGCGGCAATGACGGCGGTGGCGAGGAGAGTGAGGAACTGCATTTTGAAATGTGGTTGCTTTGATAAGAGCATAGGCTTGATTGAATGGGGGAGGTGGTCGGTTGTAAGTTGTTGGCGTGTGTGAAGATCTGATGCGGTGACTTGCTGGATGACGAGACCAGAAGTTGTCATTCAGCGGAATATGTTGCCATCTTTATACTCAAGCTTTCACCGCTGATAGACCAAACGTCGGCCATCATCTCGTAAACAGCCCACGCCATGGACACGAGAATAGATCCTCCCGCTCAACATCGTCGGCGACATTTACGGACTCGACAGCGACTGGCAGAAGAAACGATGACATGCGGCTGGAGCTAGCAGCCGTCGCCTCCGCCACGCTCAGCCCTGCCCGTCACGACCAATCTGCTCCCCCAGATACTCAGTTCCCACCACGTCACGTCTGCCGACAGCACGCAGGGCGGGGTGCAGAACCACTACGTCGACCCTCTCGGCAGCACGACAAACGTGGGCGCATGCTTGGTCCACCAGCCGGCCCCTCCTAGGAAACAAAGCGCATACGGCACGCCGGCTCTGCCTTACGGGGTGTCAGCTAGGCTGGTTTGAGTCAAGACTTCGGGAAGTTTGTACGGAATCTCTGGGCGCTGGTTGGGCACGTTATCCTCCCCGCACCACCCATCGCACGCGGATCAGCCGCATTAGGTTACCTGTCGGCTGAGCCGGAACTATCCACCTACCCCCGAGGCAAGCCCAACGCCATGAGCTGCTATTATTATCTCATCTTGATGGTGTCGTGAGGTGTGCCTGGTGACGATGAAGACGTTGAGACAGATCATGAGCCAAGCCACGGCTAGAAAGAAGTGGGCTGGGGCGGGTGATTGTACGGCAGATCCATGCACGTACGTATAGCTTGTCATTATCATTATGGAGAAATAGCCTTCTCTCGATGCTGATTGCACGTTATCCCCTCTCAGCCGAGCGGCTGATTCAGATCTCTCCGAACGGTGAGCAGCGCTTCCTCGTGTTGTCAACTCGGTGGTCAGCTGTTTGTCCTGCCGGACGGGGACATGCTTCTTTTCCGGGCGCCCCAGGCGGATTGATCAGTCGAATGCTCAGTGCTCGCAGATGTGTCTTGAGACGCGCATGCAGGATCAATTCAATACCTAAGAGGAATAATATCTGCCGCTTTTCCCAATCAGAAAGCATCAGCTGCGCCCAGGTTGGTAGCGTCGGCCAACCCCACAACAGTACCACCACGACCATGACAAACATGAGCCACGAACGACTGCTCTCCAAGCACATACGACCATACCTACTGGAAAGCTCGGGATCCCGTCCGCTCTCCCTTTGATAAACCAGTAAGGGCCAGATCAGTAGTCGGGTGGGTGACCACCGGCGAATCCCTGGTGTTGTATGTTTTGCATTTTTGACGGACGCGCACCTCGCTCGGTTAGATCGAGTGACGCGGCAGTAAGCGGCTCCGTGGTGGAGACGAATATAACGAATGATGTGTATTCAGTCTTGCTTGCTTGCTGCCCGCCCTCGCCGTTGTCTGTCCATGAACAAGGTTCAGACAAGTTCGGCCGTTCTCAAAGCGACCTTGCCGCTCCATTATCAAATCACACTACTCATGACCGCCGTCTTCAGGTCTTGTTGCCATTATAGTTCCCGAAGAGGCGCAATCCATTCGGCCCGTGAATTGGCGTGTAACGTTGCCCTCCCCCCTACACTCTCGACCGTGCCGCGTGGCGCTTCCCATTGTCCGCCCATACTCTTGACACGGCGGCGACTTTCATGTCGCGCGAAAGTGCTTTCCGAACCACGCGATGCACTGATCCTCGGCCTCCTCGCCTGGTCCGTCCACCTTTTCGTCCTTTGGAAAGGAGGCCCGCAGCGCGAACCCGTGAGTCGATCCGTCATACACTATGATCTCGCCATGCCTGGCTTCGATGACCGGCCGCACCCGCTCGGCCTTGGCTGTCGGGATCTGGTTGTCCTCGCTGCCCACGGCAATGGACAGCGGCACGACCAGCTTCTCGAGGTCGCCGGGCAGGACCACGAAGCTGGGGTGGCCGGTAAAGGCGGCGTCGATGAGGGGCTGGTCGTGGCTCCCGTCGCCGCCGCCGCCGGTGGGGCCCTGGGCGAGGAGCACGGTGTGCTTGCCGCCCCAGCAGAAGCCGACAGCGCCGAGGGGCAGGGCGGGCTCGTCGGCGCGGACGGCGGCGAAGAAGGTCTTGACGCGCGGGTGGGTGATGCCGAAGCGGTTGCGGTAGAAGAAGGGGACGACGACCAGGAGAGCCGAGACGAGGTTGTAGCTGGGGCACCGGTCAGCACGTGTGTGATTTGGTGACGAGGCAGGGCAGGAGGAGATGATGGCACGTCGGCGAGAGCGGGAACGTACGCCTTGGACAGAAGGTTGGCGTCGCCGAAAATGGCACGCATGTTGGCGAGCATGGACACGGGTGCGGCGTGGCCGTCCATGAAGTCGGGGAGGTACACCTTGTAGCCGCCCTTGTCGGCATATCTGTCGGCGATGAGGCGGGCGTTGGGGAACTCCCAGCCAAAGACATCGGGAATCACGACGATGATGCCCTTGGCCGGCTGCTGGTTTTGAGGCTCGGTCATGTACACGTCGAAACCGTGGAGAGTCGTGACTCGCCCCCGTGGAATTCCCTTGTGCAGGGCGCCGCTGAAGCAATCGGGACAAGACATGGTGGTGCAGACGAGACCTCAGACTCTTGTACTGCGGCTAATCAACAGGTTCAATTGGAGAGACGGTCACTCGGCGATGCGAAGTCGACGAGGTCGAGGATCAATCGTTGACGATGCGATCGGTTCAATTGCTTGGCTGAGGGCGGGAGTCAGATGGCGACCAGCAGTCCTCGTCAGCAGCGCGCGAGATGAAGCAGCTCAGGAAACAGGACATGGCGTTCGGGGGGCACGAAAAACAGTGAGTGTCTGATTGGGTCTACCTGGGGGCTGAAGGGCTGAATCCATGACGCTAGGAAGAATCTGGCGATGTCTCTGCGTGTTCGCCGGACTCGAACAGTAGGCAAGAGCGTGAAGGTGAGCGATTGACAGATGTATCGATGTTCCGTCTTCTCGAGGCGAGATACGGCGTGCGCGTATCGTTGTCCAGGCTGTGGAAGCATTCCTGGAGGGTTGATGATCACAGCCTTGCTACCTTCCTACCTACCTACCTAGGTAGGTACGGCGGGCGAGTCGAACTGGCAGCTGTTCCAGCCCCAGTCGATATGCAGACCAGTGGCTGGTGCTTATCAGTATCGTGGCTGGTGGACAATTTTGGATTAGACTGCCAACCGGAGTGGAGGCCCAAGTGTTATCCCGAGTCCGCTCCAAGCTCCTGTCCTGCCCCCCACCCGACCACAGCCTTCTTTTGACTCCTGATGAACAACTGAATGCGGGCTCGAGTCGCCCTGCCATCTTCGCCATCTGGCCTTGTTCAACAATCGCTGTCCATCGCATGGCAGGACAGATCGAACGAAGCAAGTTTTCGTGCAGGCGCTTTTTTGTTATTCGGCACCGACGTTTAGCAAGTTTTCCGGGAGCAAGCACCTGCCACGACCAGGTACTTTGTCTTGACAACCCCGCGATGTCCTCGACCGGAGACGGCATAATCTGAAATCAGTCGACTCAGTAACACATCACTCGTGAACCCACCAAGATGGCCGAGCCCAACGCCCGTCCATGCCGCCTGCGCCCGCGGACCTGCAAAGACCGAGAATTGCCTTGCCGAAAAGCATTCTCTGGTATGAGGCTTACGCCAAGCCGAGCCTACAGGGCTGATATTCGCTCGGCAGAGATGGAGCCTCGATCGACTCAACCGGTTCCATGCCGCTCATTTGCGCCCTCAGATAAGCATATGCAGCCCAGAGGTGCCTAGTCAGCAACGTCGTGAGTCGAATGTTGGCCTCAAACTCGACGAGTGTCGATGACCGAAAGCTCCTGGTAGCACGCCGAGGGACCCAGTCCATCAATATCTCACCATGACAGATTGTACCATTCCATCATGAGCCACCACCACCCACCTGCTGGGTGGGTTCGATGGGTCATCCCGAGCGCCGAACCCGCCGAACCCACCGGAGCCTCACTCATGCAGCCCACTCCGGCCCTGACCCCCTGCCCATCAGCGAGCTCGCCTAGGCACCACCGGAGGCGCAATCCTGGTCAATCCGTCCCGTTCGACATGAAATCTCGCAAGCGTGGGATCCCGCCATCAAAGTCCTCTGCTGCGGTCTGGGCGTCTTTGGGCCGAAAGTTCCAGGCCCCCCCTTGCTGCAAAATGTGTCCGAAGTCGTGCTTCTATGTTGTTGTCGTTTTCATTGTGCCAACGGAGCGGGGACTCTTCTCTGCCATCAAACTCCCTTTTCTGTTCGCCGTGGCAATGTTGAGCGCGACTCATTTATGCATCCAGGATCGGCTCCCCTGAGCCAACTTTGCCGTGCCCACCCCCCATCACGGCAAACACGCCCAGCCCGATCACACGCAACGCTCTGCTTTCCCGCTGTTACTGATACCCACGAATGCCGTCCTGAACCCCGCGGATACTTCCGTGGAACACCGGGGTGAATCACCGTGGTTGATAATTATACACTCAAAGCCACCTTGATCAATTATTCACCTCACGGTATTGATGGGGCAGACACGCTGATCATTACAAAGATAACCTTGCCCGATTTCCCCCCCTCTCTTTGACCTGAACGCATAAGAGAAGTCAAAAGCAGCTTCTGTACTACTGCCCCTGAACTATACCAAACAGCTATCGCATGAGAAGCTCCTGGGACCTGATTATTCGACTACAATCATCTGCCGAGGAGAAAGAACACGCCACGACCGAACATCTCAAGGTGTCTCAAGCCCTCCACCATGGGGACCTACTCCGAGGAGCCATCTGCGAAGACGCATATCGGCTCGTCTCGACACTCATCTTCGACACAAGTCTCACAAACACATGATCAAGTCGAAGCACTAGCCCGCCGTGTCACGGCTCAGTCGGCCAGGCTCGACCATGTAACAGAGAACAGCGCCCTCAACCCTGTCAAGGGTAGCAATTTGGATCCATTCTCAGCGGACTTTGACAGAGCCCTCTGGACCCAGGCCTACATACGCGAATTCGAGGCCGACCCTGACACGGCGCCCCCACGCAAGGCCGGCGTGGCGTTCCGTAACCTGGGCGTCTTTGGCCACACCTCGGGTGACCAGTACCAGCAGAGCACCGGCAACATCCTGCTCAGCTTGACCTCGACTCTTGCCGGGAAGGTCACTGGTCGTGCCGCTACTCGTGTAGACATCTTGCAAGGCTTTGACGGCATCGTTGATCCCAAGGAAATGCTACTTGTTCTAGGGCCCCCCGGCTCAGGATGCTCGACCTTTCTCAAAACCTTGTCAGGGCGTACCGAGGGACTCAACATCACAGAGGAATCATACATCAACTTTACAGGTGCTTCATCGTAGTACCCCTTCCGACAGGATAACCACTAACATGAAACAGGCATCGATCCAAGCCACATGCACAACTGGTTCCGGGGCGATGTGCTCTACAACGCCGAGGTTGACGTCCACCTCGCGCCCCTCTCCGTCGGCGACACTCTCGAATTCGCAGCGCGTGCTCGCGTTCCTGCCAAGATCCCCGGTGGCTTCAGCAAGAATGAGTACGCCCGTATCATGCGCGACGTCATCATGGCCACTTTTGGCATTTCCCACACCATTGACACAAAGGTCGGCGACGACATCGTTCGAGGTGTTTCTGGAGGCGAGCGCAAGCGCGTCAGCATCGCAGAGGCATCCCTCACAGGCGCCAAGTTTCAATGCTGGGACAACAGCACCCGTGGCTTGGACAGCGGCAATGCCATCTCCTTCTGCAAGACCCTGCGCGTTCAGGCAGACATTATGAATGTGGCTGCTGTCGTTGCCATCTATCAGGCGCCCCAGGCGGCCTACGAGGTGAGTCCAAAGTCCCCAGTTTGGAAGAGCGATCTGAGCTGACCAGTTCAGACCTTTGATAAAGTCACCGTGCTGTACGAGGGCCGTCAGATCTACTTTGGCCGTACTGAAAAGGCGAAACACTACTTTGAGCAACTGGGCTTCGAATGTAAGTCGCGCTTGATTGTCTGACCGACCTTACTTGGCCACTGACGCTCTCTTCAACTGAAGGCCCTGACAGGCAGACCACCGCCGATTTCCTGACATCCATGACGTCGCCACAAGAACGTCGCATCAGGGCGGGATGCGAGCAAATGGTCCCAAACACTCCTGACGAGTTCGCCGCCAGGTGGCGTGATTCGCAGGAACGTGCCGCTCTCATTACTGAGCTCGACCAATACGATGCCGCACATCCTCAACAACAGCGTATGGATGAGTTCACGCTCAGCCGAAAGGTCGAGCGCAGTTCAGCGCAACGGCTTAAATCGCCCTACACGATCCCATATTTCGACCAGGTCAGGCTCTGTATCTGGCGTGGATGGAAGCGCCTGATTGCGGATCCCGGATTCACTGTGGCACAGCTCAGCTTCAACTTGATCATGGGTCTCGTCTTGGGTAGTGCATTCTACAACCTCTCGGGTGACACAAGCAGTTTTTATCCCCGCGGCGCTGTTGTCTTTTTCGCACTCTTGTTCAATGCTTTTGCCAGCGAGCTTGAGGTAGGTTGCATCCCTGATCCACGCATATCTGAGAATCCCGAGGTGGCAGCTGACTGACCCCTCCAGGTCCTCACCTTATATATCCAGAGACCTGTTGTCGAGAAGCACAACCGATATGCTTTCTATCATCAGTCTGCCGAAGCAATCTCGAGTTACGTTCTTGAACTTCCTTACAAGATTACTAATGCTATCATGTTCAACACGATCGTCTACTTCCTCGCCAATCTCCGCCGCGAACCAGGAGCATTCTTCTTCTTCGTTTTCACGGTTTTCCTCATTCTCCTCATCATGTCGGGCGTGTACCGTACCATGGCCTCGATCGCGCGCACGTCCGACCAGGCGCTAGTGCCAGTTGCTCTCATCACCATGGGCGTCATGGTCTACACTGGTTTCACAATCCCTGTAGACTATATGCCCAGCTGGTCGAGGTGGATGAACTACATCAATCCTCTTGCCTACGGCTTTGAGGCACTCCTGGCGAATGAATATCACGGACGCGAATTTCCTTGTGCAAGCATCGCGCCTGCTGGTCCCGGCTACGATGACCTTTCCCTGGCTAACCGAACCTGCACTGTCGTTGGCGCAGTGCCCGGTGATTCCATGGTCTCCGGCGACCGCTATATTGAGATCAGTTTCGGATACTACAATGCCCACAAGTGGAGGTACATCGCTTGATCCTATGCTATGCGAATGAATACTGACATCATACAGGAATATCGGTATCCTTTTCGGCTTCTTGATCTTCTTCTTTTGCACCTATGTCTTCGCTGCCGAGTACGCGAAACCTCCTGTCAACAAGGGTGAGGTTCTTTTGTATCGTCGGGGCAAAGTCCCTGCTTTGTCCAAGAAACTCGGGCAGAAGGACGAGGAGAGCCAAACGCCTTCGCGGCCCATCACTGAAAAGCCTACGGCTGAGGCGAAAAGCGATGATCTAGAGAAGGAGAAGAGGCCCAGCCCAAGCACTTGCGGAAAGCCCATTTTCCATTGGGAAGATGTCTGCTATGACGTCAAGATCAAAGGAAATGACCGTCGCATTCTTGACCACGTCGACGGATGGGTGCAGCCTGGTGTGGTCACCGCCTTAATGGTACGTCAATCGTGTCCACGGTTGTTGTGAATGTTACTGACAACCCACAGGGCTCGTCTGGAGCGGGAAAGACCACCCTCCTAGATGCTCTCGCCACTCGTGTCACGATGGGTGTGCTCACTGGCGACACTCTCGTCAATGGAAAACCGACGGACATGTCCTTCCCTCACCGCGTAGGCTATGTTCAGCAGCAGGACCTTCACATGAACACTATGACCGTGAGAGAAGCCCTGGAGTTCAGTGCAGTCTTGCGTCAGAGCGCTGAGATTCCTCGCGCCGAGAAACTTGCGTACGTCGACGAAGTGATTAAGACCCTGGAGATGGAGGCCTTTGTCGATGCTGTCATTGGTGTACCAGGTGAGGGCCTGAACGTGGAACAGCGCAAGCGGTTGACAATCGGTGTCGAGTTGGCTGCCCGTCCTCAGCTGCTTGTCTTCCTTGACGAACCGACCTCCGGTCTCGACTCTCAAACATCTTGGGCCATCTGCGACCTCATTGAACGACTGGCCAAGAGTGGCCAGGCTGTCCTCTGCACCATCCACCAGCCGTCTGCCATGCTCTTCTCGCGCTTTGACAGACTTCTTCTTCTGCAACCAGGTGGAAGGACTGTCTACTTCGGAGGTAATGCTTGTTTCCCTTTCGTGTTTCGGGCTACATACTGACATCTTTCAGACATTGGTGCTGGCTCCCGCACGATGATTGAATACCTCGAGAGAAATGGCGCGCCGCCTTGCCCTCCAGCCGAGAACCCGGCGGAGTGGATGCTGAAGGTTACGCTTCCTTCGACTGACGGACCCGATTGGTTTAGCATCTGGCACAACTCCCCTGAGTATCGCGAAACCAAGGCTGAGCTGCAGCGTCTGCGAGACGGAAACACCCCGGTCGAGCGCAGCGCGGCGCAGGATTTGGCCTCGCAACATAACGAATTCGTCGCCTCGTTCTGGACCCAGTTCCGCGAGGTCCTGCTCCGCGTGTTTAAGCATTTCTGGAGGTCGCCATCTTACCTGTGGTCGAAGATTGCTGTCACTGGTCTCCTCGTAAGTTGCTCGAACCAACCTCAAACTGTAAATGCGTGCTGACGCGTCCAAGGCTCTCTACATCGGATTCAGCTTCACATCCAGCAATAGTCTTCAAGGCCTCCAGAATCAGCTCTACGCGTTCTTCATGGCCTTCCTCATTTTTAACCCCTTCAACAAGCAGATCATGCCCATGTTTGTACCGCAGCGTGCACTCTACGAAGTTCGCGAGCGCCCTTCCAAAATCTACCGCTGGTCTGCCTTCATGCTCTCCAATGTTGTCGTCGAGTTCGTCTGGAACACCGCCGCCGCTGTTCTCTTCTTCTTCTGCTGGTATTATCCCGCTCGATTCTTCAAAAACACCACCTCAGACGACGTCACAATCCGCGGCTTCACCACGTTCCTCTTTATTTGGCAGCTCTTCCTCTGGATCTCGACCGTCTCGCAATTCGTCATCGCTGCCATTGAGCACGCTGACCTGGCCAGCGTGCCCGCAGCGCTCATCTGCATCATGGCCCTCTGCTTTTGCGGCATCGGCACCGTGCGCTCGACCCTCCCCGCGATCTGGGCCGATTTCATGTACCGTGTCAGCCCCATGACCTACCTCGCCAGCGGCGCGCTGTCCACCGCTCTCCACGGAGCCAAGGTTGTCTGTAGGCCCGAAGAGGTTGTGCGCATCCCTGCCCAGGCGGCCATGAGCTGCGCCGAGTTCCTGGAACCATACAGTCAGCGCTTCAGTGGATACCTGGTTGATGTCAGCGATGACAGCGTGTGCGGATGGTGCCCGATGAGCACGACCGACGACTACCTTGCCACCTTCGAGATCAGCTTCGGTGACCGGTGGAGGAACTTTGGCATTGGGTGGGTTTTCATTCTCTTCAACATTGCAGCGGCCTGCGGCCTGTACTGGCTGTTCCGCGTGCCCCGGGGTCAGGGTATCAAGAGGAAGTAAAGTAGGCGTCCACGTGGGGGTGAAAGATGCAGAAAAGGCTCTTTGAGACTTCAGACGGTAAGAGAGATACATATCTGGAATACTAATGGGTTAGATTTTTTTGGGAAGTAATCTAGAAGGGGCTGCTTGGTCTTTGTTTTATTTCCTTCTTCGCGGGCCTGTCAGTAGGAGACTTTAGAAGCTGTCGGAGGAGACCATGCCTCCTACATGCATCAATATCATTTCGTTCTACTTAAGCAAGATGACTCGAGTCGTTTGATCCGTCTTATTTTACGACTTACCGAAGGCGAGATTACTTGCTTTAACTGATGACATTTCTTGGATTCGGCAATATCTCCCATGGCTGCCACGATCTGTCTACTTCGCGCACACTACATGGACAGGTCCACCGATCTTGATCCTCAGGCTACACCCCAAACGTCGACACGTCTCCGACTCGCCACCAGCCTTCACCCATAACATGGCGTACCTCAGGCAGAACGACCCTTGGACGACCCTTAAGCGAGCTTGGCACGCGCGCTACGTGGGTAGATATAAATCTCGTGATGCCACTGAGGATGCCGTTCCTTTGGGTTTCCTACATCATCACATACGTTGCACTTTCGTGATGACCCAGGCCATCCCACTCCCCATCCTCGCTCCTGCATCGATTGTCATCCACTTGACTCATTCCGAAGGAGCATCGTCTTGAACGTTCCCTGCTGCCGTGCTGTCAACGAGACCCTCTACGCGTAAGTTTTCATGTGACACTCTCTATGCTGACTAACCCCGGCTTTCTGGGAAGGTGTGGTTTCCATTGTTTGCTGACGATCTTTCTGAAAGTCAACGACTGATGCTCTAGAGTGAGGATCGCAACGATTTGATTGCTCCCTTCGCCCATCTTCGCGTCCGTAATCCGTGGTCCCGAAGAAATCAGCCCACCGTCGCACGTTTGTAGTGACGTTCGAACTGGAGATGAGGCTCAAAACCTTCCTGTGGGCTCATAGAGCCGTACTTCATGCCGAGAATGGCGATGAAACGACATCCATCGACGGCCGTCGCGTACCACGTGCTGACCCCCGGGTCTTTCCACGAGTGCTGAATCTGCTTTCACCTTTTCGCAAGTTCAAGCCGCTTACCCGTCGTCGAGGCCAAGATGGTCGCCGCGCGCCCTTGACTATGTCTGTGATCTACGTGTCCATCGACGCGAAGCCGTATGACTGCGCGTTTGACCGGGCGAATGCCGGTGACTAGAAGTTGACCGGCAACTCCGAAGAATGCGATAGGCCTGCAAGACACAACGGGCAGGAAAGTCGTCATGGAGCGAAGCGCACCAACACCTCCGCCGTCCAGAAATGTGAGGACCATACTGCTGTTCCTGGAAACTGCCCTCGTACCCACAGAGCGAGCGAAGGATCTGCTGCCTTCATAAGCCTTGAAGTTGTTCGTCCTGGCGAATCAAACCGAGCGGGCGACGGCCAGACACAGACCCGTAGCCGCAAGGCCTCGGACGAGGACACCATCAAGCTTCACGACCGAGTCTTCTCGCCCGGACAGAGCCGCTCTTCTTCGTGGGAAACTTGGCTTGATGTCGCTGTGCATCGAGAGACTGGCAGTGAAAACTATGCGTCGCACCACCGTGCCCGCTCCGTCTCAGTCAACTCCACCGGAACCATCGTTCGGTACGGCGAGGACAACAGTCTCAAGGTTGACGTTCACTGCTGCGAGTCCACTGATGCCACCCCGGAATCCCCTCGCTCTGTCGAGAATGATTGTATCAGTCCATCTTCCCAGAATGGTACGCATGGTCGGGTCTCAAGCATGGAAGAGCTCACGCAGAGCCATCTCCTCGAATCTTGCCGTGAGGGAACTGGCAGCACGACATATGAGTTTGACCTCGTCGGTGAGATTGATGTTCGTAACTGTCATGAGGCAGTCCTCGACGCCGATGTATATCGCAGTCAGGCAATCATTCAGAAGATCCATGCCGACATGGCCGATGGAGTGATCTCGCGCGTTCAGGCGGGCAAAGAGGACGAGCGCGGCGAGGGTGAAGATTCATGTGACACAGTTTCTGCGGACTGCGACCTCGAGGTTGCCATCAGAAAGTCGGTCTCTGCTTACCTTGAGTCTCCCGAGGCAAATCTCCCCCACCAAGTCGAGCTCATGAACAATGAGGATGAATTCGACTTGGAAGAGGAGCAATACCACCACCACCTGAAGAGCACCATGGACTCTTATATCACAGACGAGGACCACAGCCGGTCTGAATACTCAAGCCAGGAAGAACTCCAAACACCTGGAACATTAGGAGACATGGTTGGAAGTGTTTTCCAAGTTGGAGACTGCGGCAGTCCTCACCAAGGTCATTGTTACCAGACTGATCTGTCTCCCATTCCCGAGTTCCCAACCCCATCACCAAGCCCTGCTCGTCCTCGTCGCCAAGGCCCGACTAGAGCACCGCAGCGCTTCTCCTTGAACGAAGAAACTTTCCACGAATGGACCGTAGACACTAATGACCTGCACCTTGTCCCTTCTTCGCTCAAGAGCCCTCTGTTGCGCCCGCCACTGATCCCTCCTCGCGGATCCTCTCGCACACTGACAACCCCTGATAGATCAAGCGACTTGTCTGGACTCCTACACCAGTTCCACGCGTCTCCAAGTCCCGATCAACCGTCGACTCCAGAGCAGGAGCGTTCTTACTTTGACTTTGAGGACTCGCCCTGCTCCGGCGGCCGTTTCTTCGCAGCGTCGTCCGGAGCGCGCAACCTCATCAGGGGCTTGAAGACGTTGTTCCAACAGGGGACCGAGACTATGCGGCGACCGGCTGCGGCCCCGACTCTTCGACGTACTGTTCGTCGTTTCTTCTCCAAGCGTGAGCCCGACGACGCAGGAACCAACACTAGCCCGGCCCCGAACGAGGCCGTGGCTCATATTCGCTCTGCGGCCGACACCGATTACACCGACCACGGCACCCACTACCCCGTGCTCACTACCACATGTTCGACTGGAGCATCTGAGGGTTCGCAGCTTGCTTCTTGCCCTGGCTTGGCACTTGGCCAGTCCCAGGTATTCCGAGTATTCGAGTCTCCGCCTCCGACTCTCAACTTGGAGAATGTGGCGAACCGCTGCCGCGACTCCTGGACCTCTCCGGTTCACTGTGTCGACCACCCACCCGGGACGACCTCGCGCGTTTTCGAAGAGAAAGCGCCTGCGGGCTGGTTCTGAGGGGCGCACAGTAGCGTGTGAACCAGGCGTGACCTACTTTCGGTGCTGCCCAAGCTCCCCCGGCATGCCTTCGCCCGGGATCCGGAACATCATCTTTTGGTCAAACGGCCTCCAGCTCTGATGTACGTTTTCTAGTGCATTGTGTAGTATTGGTAACAGTGATTATGATTTTGAATACCTGAAGAATGAAGCTCAGGGATGTATGGATTTCTGGAAGTGGACTCTTTTGATAAAGAATGGGCCAGAGACGATGCCTCAGGGGCGGACAATGTTTGTAAACACCTCTTGTGGTGATGTGCAATCCCTGGACACGACAGTACTGGGAGAATGATTCTCAGCGACTTGGTAGCCACAAATGCGACGACGTTGAGCAATGTCATGAAGCACCTGTAGGATCCATCGAGCAGCCAGGGCCAACACGACTGTGCGACACAAGTAGAGGTTGCAATGGCATGGTCCGTTGTCACTTCACCATTTGGTATTCTTGGCTTGACACGAATGTACGGTTCAATTCAATACTATGACGTCCAGTTGCCTCGACTTCCTCAGGGGTCATCACAATTGACAGCGGGATGCGGCGGAAATCGTGTCGTCCGTAGTATGTCATTATTGAGGGCGCTCCCTGACATAAGCATGGAAAGCTGATGTGCTGCTCGTCAAGGGCTGTCGCGGGATCACAAGATCCGCTGTCCGAGGTGAGAAACCCGAGCTGCTAGAGGTCGCCAACGATTCAAATGCATACCTGCGATCGCCAGTACAGCAGACCTCCTGTTGGTGGCCTTTCCCCACCCCGAGTGATCTGTCCGGATCAATATCCCAGATCCGGGGTCGCCAATGGCGATCGTCCTCGGGTTCAGTAAACATCGGGCGAGAGAAGCACGACAAACGCGCTTCGAATGAATCAATGTCGGCACACTGATCACGTTGCACGCGCTCGACTGCGCACTTTTTCAACCGATTTCCGAGCACGAAGGACCACAGCGTATGCCAACTACCAGATGCCATCCCCTTTCGTCGTATGCATGAAACGGTGATCAGCAGTGGTTATCCCTCGGCAACGGGGTTCATGTCCGCTGCCCATGACGAGAAGGAACCCTGACGAACACTGCCGGTCGACGCCGCAAGGGTCACGACTTAAGAAGGCAGTGTATGCCACAGCGTCGAGGCTCGCTGTCCGGTTTCTTCACTCGAGGATCCACATCGCCCGTTGATAGAGCCCCAGATGAAGTATTCCGCTTACCTCGCCCTCATTCCCTCGGCGCTTGCCTCGGTGGTTCCCCGCCAGGATCCTTGCCAGGCTTCAGCCGACGGCTTCGCATCTCTCAACGGTGGCACCACTGGCGGTGCCGGCGGGACGGTCGTCACGGTCTCAACGCTGGCCGATCTCGAAAAGTATGCAGCCGCCGCAGGCCCTCATGTAATCAAAGTCGAGGGCCGTATCACAGTTGCGCCCTTCGGCAAGGAAGTCAGCGTTTCAAGCGACAAGACGATTGTCGGCGTTGGAGAGGACGCAGAGATCTTCCAAGGTAGGCTACGGGTCATCGGCGTCGGGTTTCACAGGAACTTGCTGACTGATGTCTAGGCGGCTTCAGACTGATAAAAGTCAGCAATGTCATTATCCGAAACTTGATCATCGGTACGTGACGGTAGCTTTCGACCTTTTTGAGAGGAAATCCCAACTGACCTTGGTTATCAAAGGCCACTCCAGCGACGGCACCGACAACGATTACGATGGAATCCAGTCAGACACATCATCGAATATCTGGATTGATCATTGTCTGTATTCCACCATATTGGGAGACGAATCAAGCTGACTGGCCTAACCCAGGCCTTTTTGAAGAAGCCGGCGACGGTCTCGTCGACCTCCGCAAAGATACAAACTACTTTACCGTCTCGAACAACATTTTTCGCAAACACGACAAGGCCTTCGGCATCGGGTGGACAGAAAACGTCGTCGCTCGTGGCACTATTCACCACAACTGGTTTGACTCGACGAACCAGCGCAACCCTTCAGCTGACAACTTGGCTGAGGCACACTTGTACAACAATTTGGTCAGTGGTGTGACTTCGTACGGGCACTACGTTCGTGGTGCCACGACGGCTGTCATCGAGAATGTGTTCTTCGAGGATACGAAGAATCCAATTACGCGGGATGAAGGAGCGGCGCTCCGCTCGAAGGGGAATATCTTTGAGGGCACTGGCGGGACGATTGCGAAGGATGCTGGAGAAGCCTTTGACCCGGCTTCGTACTACTCGTACACGTTAACGAAGACGGCGGACGTACCGGCGTTTGTGAAAGGCAATGCCGGACCTCAAAGAGCGGTTTGCTCTTGACAGGCAGAGACAAGTGCGAACTTGAACAATGAAGTATCCCCGATCACGATGCTCGTCGTGCGTGTATCAGAGGAGAAGAACCAAGAGAAACCCGGTCCGCCGTACGAGGGCATGCCAGTAGCCGAGGATATCATGCCCAGAGTGTGGCAGTAGAGGCCCAGACCAAATCCAAAACGAAAGGAAAAGAGAAGAGATGACATTGAGTAAACAAACGGGTTAAGGAATGCCTCCTCCAGATGCCAGCTGCTAGACCCGACTTCGAATGCCCACCCCAGGATTGCCATACGGTCCCTCTGGAGATCTCTGATGCCAAGCCCTCCTGGCGGTGGGTTAGTGTCTGCGTAGACTGGGCTGGCATGTGGGAGCCCCGGAGCTATAGACTCGGCCGTTCTGCGGAACCCCATCTCGGAGAAAAGGGGGAGGGGACCAGGGCGCAGATTTGACCGACATGATGGCTGCCAACCGACGCCCAAACTGGAGGGGCGCAGGCATGCCCCTGGGGATATATTGTGGAATCCGGAATCCGGAACCTAGGGCCAAGTGAGGGTCACATCGAAGATACCTGCAGGGTCTGGTGCATCGCGAGGCGTCACAAGCGCGCACGAAGGTTGCGAGCAACATTTGGCTGCGCCTAGGTACCGCCGCACCGGGTTGATGAGGCTGCAGAGATGATCGATAGGACCGACATACAGCTTACAGCTCGGGCCTAACGGTTCCTCCCGAAGTGTGTCCTTTGCCAGGTTGCAGGCCTTGGCTGCCAATGGCTGTATAGAGACCATGGCGGACCAGGGCGCGTTCCAGCCTCCATTGCCGTTTCGGGCACATCTCTCGCCGTCTGGCATGGTGATGCCGCACCGAACCCGGGTTCATGACCCCTACTTCACATCGCAAAGAGTTTAGTAGTGTAAAACGGGTGTGCACCGACACCCCCTGGCAACCATCGTGTGAGTTCCATGGGAGCGGTTCAGGCATGCACGCTTGCTACATCCGGGTGGTTCGACGAGGGTGAGGCTGAGGCTGATATGTTGGACATGTACTACACTGTCTGCTGATTCGGAATTGGAGAGCTTGTTGGACGCGGTAGGTGTTGCTTTTAGTTCCATTTTTGTCTTCAGCAATCATATGCTCCTCCAGGGCACAAGACGTAGCTGAGGAATCCATCAGTCATCACGGGAAAAGCGCGTAGGCTCTCCTCTGTATTGCTCGGTTTGCTTTCGCAGGCAAAGAGAATCATGCCTAGATCGACCCAGTTTAACTAATAGCCGTCGGCAGACAGCTTTGGCCATCGCCACGTGAGGAAGCTGAGCTCGTGTGCTGTGACAGCCGCCACGTTACGAGGCGAGCGGACAATACCGTACGAGTCATCCTCGTGCCATGCCTCGAAGCAGGGAGAATTCTGAAAGCGTCGTCGTCCCAGACCTGAATTCCAACGTAAGTAGTCCCACGCTATGAATAGTTGGACCGACCCGGAAGCCAACGGCCCACTCCGCCAAAGAAGCAAGCCAGGCTTTGGTGGTTCCAAGGCTACCCCCCTGCTCGTCTGCCGTTTCGCGACGAAGAAGGACACAGACATGTGGAGTGATTGACGTCGAAGGCGGCGGGCGGCGCCCGGGGAGAGCATGGGGGAGAGCAGGGGTTGTCGGCCAGGGGCAGGCAGGCCAAATCAGTGGGGAAGTTGGAACGAGAACTGTAATCACGAGGGGACGAGCTGTGGAGAAAGATGGTGCCCAGACCCAAATGCTCCGAAGGGAGGCCGGCGCCATCAGTCACTGGTCCACTGTTCACAGCGTCTGTTGTGTTTTGCCCCGTCCGGAGACCCCGTGATTTCCCAAGGGGGTTTTTTTTTCTTCATTCAATCCTTGATGTCCCCATGGGAATGGTTCGTGCCGTTGAGGAGTCTTGGATTTTGGCGATTTCTCGGGTGGAGGGTCTATGTTTGACCTTCAAAAATGTATGCGGTTGTGATTCAAAGGACTGACAGCACAAAGGGACACGCGAGGTATCCCGCGTGGTTATGAGACAACCTCAATACGATTGTTTCTAGACGATACCGTGTCTTTCGTCTTTCGTTGCCAAAACCTTCGCGCAAGCGGATGCGAGCCTTCCATGCCAGAACCGCATTCTCTGGACAGCATACGATCGCTAACGGATGCCACCATAGATGAATCTGCAGTGGCATATCAGGCCTCCGAACCCGAGAAAAAGGACCGAAGACGGACAAGTCGGCACAACGAATCAGTCTGTGTCAGGGCGGCAAAACGTAACTGTAGTGGAGGGAGTCGATCAAGTGTTGCTGTGCAGGACTGGAGGTGGGCCACGGCAATGCCTGGTTCGCGTGGCCCCATGTTCCGGCCCAGCTTTACCCCGACAACGCAGAAGAGTCAGCACAGGTAGTAAAACTCGACGGAAAGGGTCTCATGACCTGTTCTCGAGTTTGATGCATCTTCGAAACGAGCGAAGCCGAGTGGTCTGGCGCGGAGACGACTCGGCCAATTTAGCCAGGCGGCGGCGCATGGGAGTGAGGGCTCCAGGCAGGTTTAGCGCGTCGAGTACCGCCGAGCATTGGGCCACCAAAGACTTTGCGTTCGTAGGGACGACGGGGGTCCAGGGTGGAAACAAAGAGCAGATGTTGCAGCGGCTGAGCGGGTAGATTCTCGTGTGGGAGG